TCACCCCATTTCTAGCACTTTTAAGTAACGCTTAACACTTACTTGGAGGTGCTTACAAAGGCAGGAATTGCAAGAGGTTAACTGATTTTATCAGCAGCTCCATTGTTCCTCCAAAACAAACCAAGCCGTGATTTGCAAATAAAATACCTTCAAACAGACAATCACTGACTTCAAAGCTATAAGCAGGGAGGTGCAAAGACTTCTGAGACCATCGAAGGAGTACGACCGAAAGAAAAGAACGGAGCCTCAAGACCTAGAAGGGAGGGCTCAAAACTACAGGTTTCCTCTACTCGCACCATTGATGTTGGATGTTGGATGATCGTTTACAAATGTTCAGTTCCCTTTGAGACGATGTCCTGCTGACTTCTTTACTAGACAGAAGCTTATGGCAAGTTTCAAACAAGGTATTTGCTCAGAAACATAGTTTAGTGGTAGATAACTGTAGGAATATGTAAAAAATATTTTGTTTAATGGTCATGTCATTTGAATTTACGTAAAAAATTTAAACAAAAGTTGGCGGTCTAGGGTGGTCGTTCACGTTCTGGTGAGGTTGTGGTTGGTTGTACAGTTGTTTGTAATTTGATTTGTACACTGCTCATATACGCTTGGTTTTCCGTTGTGATAGTAAGAAAAGTTGTGTCTGAAATAGTTTCTTCGGGATATCAGTCTCCGTGTTTTTATGATGTACTTAGGTTACTCTTTTTGACCATGTTTAGTATTGAGGCGAGTTAATTGATTTTCCCTGTTGCTTGTTGGAGTGATAACCGAACTCAGTATGATTCTCTTAGACTGTGCGTTCTGGCACTGCTTAATAATATCAGCCTTCGGTTTCGCACTCCTGTTCTATGTTGGATGGGAACTGTGGTATATCTCATCAAGTCTTTGAAATCCTTTCGGAAGCAGTCATATTTATGGAGGACTTGGCTGCTGCCGTTATCACTACTTTTTGTATGATTTTAAAACAACTATCCAGATTGAGAACTGAGGAATAATATTCCACCTACTTATAAGTAGCAGATATGAACCGGAATTTCACTTTGTGACTGACGTTGATTGAGGAGTTGTAAGAATGACATCATTTGTTGCTATTGGGAAAAAGCGTGCCAGTGATTGAATTCTTTGAGTTCCTCCAACGTACTTATGACCCATCTTTCCCACTAAGGTTGGCACTGTTGGTTATTGGGACTAAGTAATTCCTCGGGATACCTTTTGTGTATCGTTGGGGTTCTCGAGGTGATTCAGAAACCATTAGTATCCGAGGGATGTATACAGTTTCGAATATTCAGGACTGAATAAAATAACATCCAATTCCAGATATTTCCTATCACTACTTGTCATACTCTGTGTTTGTTCGTCAGATTGTCTTTGAGCTAGAGATTTTTATACCTTGCATCAGTTTTGTTACTTTTTTTCATATGTAGGATGTGATGAATCTTATCTCGAGATGCAAAATGAGGAAACTTCACAAAACCTGTGAACTGTTACTTCGTTAAGTTGGGTTGTGGTCCAACGGATTCAGCACTCGGCTTTCAAACAATGATTCACTGGTTTAACTCCTGCTTCACTACTCCCGCCTAGGCAACCGTACACTACCACAAGTCCTCATGAAATTTGACTCACCCTAGTGCACTGAACTGTCACATGGATTCATACACCATCATCATCAATATAGGACTAGGCATTGCTGCTTAACGGTCCAAGTTGCCACACCTCATATCACTGCATCAAGTAATAAGGCAGTGACGTGGAAGGTGAAGAAAAGAAAATTCAGTCAAGAGAAATATAAAGTACGAAAAGAGAGAGAAAGAAAGAATGAGAAAATGGTGAGATTCGACAAAGCATCAAGATGAGGATAATGTGTGTATACATCTACACCACTGACATCGGTTCTCAGCCATATCACCTAGAGTTTCGAACCACTGGTTCCTCCTGTCCCGCGGACCCCAACCACCCAGTATGCATCACCCCACATGACTCAAACCGACAGTCAGAGACTTCATACATTGGTGCCATGTTTTAGTCTGGCCACCTCGGACCTTTTTCCAGCCTGAACCTACTTCGGCCAACATTGTGTGATGAGGCAATCGGCGACGAGGCAAACGTAACATGTGTCCCAACAATCTCAGTCGATGAAGGTTCACAACCTCACCAACTGATTTACCTCCTCCCTAAAACTCTACGCCTGACTTCTACATTACTCACCTGATGACAGCACGGAAGGCGGTCTGTACTACGAAGGCAACGGTGGTCAAACATCTAAACCCAGTCTTCTCATGTCTTCCACCTTCAATCAATGACCATGTTTCACAACCATACAATAGAACAGACCGGACTGCTGTGCAGTATACGCGATTCGTACACCAAATAATGTCATGTTCTAGTCTGACCCTATCTGACATTTTCCTGTTCTGAACCTACTGCAGCCAACATTATGTGACAAGGTAGATGTTGACTAGGCATATTTAACAAATCCCAGCCACCTGAACCGATGTAGGTTCATAACCTCGCCAACTGACTTTTCTTACCTGGAATTCTGCACCTGACTTCTATGTTACTGACGTAGTGACACTATGACATCCAATAATACGGTAACTGTGGCCAAATACCCCATAGTATACGCATGTCTTTCATCTTCAATGACCATGTTTCACAGTAAGATAGGTCAGCAAACGTGGGGAGTACACATGACTCGCAGTAGTAGTTGTATATCTCGCGAGCATAAAAGGTGGGGTAAGTTAGCAATAGTCAGTCGAGCATTTTGTGTTGTTGCAGACTTTGTTAGTCTCTGATCTATTAGGGTTGATCTGACTTCCTAAGTGAAGTGGTTACCTCACTAAGCCATTTCATTCCTCGTGGTCGGGTCAGACATCAATGTAGACCAGTCTTAATGCAGGAGTTTGTATTTGGATCATAAGTAACGCATACTAAACATCCACATTTTCACTTGGTGTCCAGAAGACAACGTATCTTGACACCTTTACGGGCTCAGATTATCCCCTGTGTACTTTGCATCCGATAAGTAGTCGTTTTGTGTGACTAGGCTTATCTCCGTAATATTCAACAAAAGTGGATAGACCTGTGTAAGCACTTGAGTGAGGTGGCTCATTGGTTTGAGCAACTGGTTTTTAACCAGTAAGCCATAGACTTAGCACTGCCTCACCTACCGAGGTTTGGGCAAACAAGTAGTATCATTAGCCACATGATAGGTACGTGTCATCACCTACTGTGCACGAACTTGTGCAAGGTTGCTGAGTACTTTTCGTTTGTTTCTATAAGCATGTACGTGAAAAAAGACATTGCTTACGCACATAACTAGATGTATGCAGCTCAACTGACTGCTCGTCGTAGGCTTTAACGCACAGGAGTGTTCATATATAAAGCCTTCGATAAAGTGGTGTACTTACCCGGCACTGGTTTCACTGAGATACTGCTATAAGGTCTACGTATTATTGAATCAAGTACCACCTTCAGATCAAGAAGTACAGCCAATTTTGAACATCGGTAAGTGTGCCTGTGTTCATTTTTCGTGAAGGATGAGTATCTGGTCAATACATCCATCATTAGGTTTGAAACCTCTTAGGTTTTCTCTAGTTTGCTATTCCTGACTAATTCCTCTGGGGTTATAACAGAAGAATTTCTCTCCTTTCTTGAAGATTGAAATAGTCAGCAATTGAGACCAACTAAAACTTATTATATCCAACTCACAAGGTAGCTAACGCTTCAGTCTAACCGAGAATCCTCGATCACCGTTCTTGAGTATTTCGCGTGCAAGCCCATTAAGACTCGCTATTCTTCTTTTCAGATTAAGTATAGCCTTCTCAACTGTTAAAGTTAGGAGCTCTTTGTCAATGCATCATCCAGGTTGCGACTGGGTAGCTGGCAACTGTAGTGTGAAGTTGTAGCTCAGTTGTTTATAGAAATGATTATCAACTATTGAGTCACGGGTTCAAACCCCGCTTCACCCACTGCGGTTTGAGCAGCCAGGTAGTATCGCTCGCCTTCACGCCATGTGTGGCCCATTGTTTACTGCACGAATTTGTACAGAGTTGTGTGCGCTTCCTCGGAGGTCAGTTGAGATGTTCTGTTCATTGTCCTAGTAATATTCCATGCGAGTGAATCAGACCTCTTCCACTGTCGGTTCACTTATCGTTGATGCCTTCTGAATTTCCGTGATAAGTCTCGACAGCTATCTACTGCCCAAAATTTCTGTCTTTTCCATATCTTAGGCCCTTCCGGCTCATCAATGTTCATGGGCATTGGCTTGACCAATTGTTAGTCTGCTAAGTTCTACTTAGGCAGGCCACCAAGATGCTTGGAACCTGAAGAAGTAAGCTCAGATAAGGCTGCTGAGATCTGTTCACTCTTTCCCAGTATGAAGCTATGGTATAGTTTTTACTTAGGTCAAACCTCGAAAATTAAGGTTGGGATTGTTGCCAAGTGCAATTTGGTTTTAACAATTTAACTGCTTTTGTGTAGACATTTGCAAACTGAAAAGCTACCTACAGGGCTATCAGTTTGGCTTTTCCAATCGGTCAATAATTATAAAAAGTCCGAAGTTGTTTTCTTGCATCCTGTATCTTTTGTAGTCCTGTGCACAGATGCTGTCAAGTGGAATTGCCTGCCAGGCGATATTTGACCGTAAACTATATTTTGTTGCAGTTAGGCTTTCCTGTCTTAAGTATATGCTACTTTACTGTGACGAAAAATCCTCCGAAACCTGAAAGATATACATATCGGTTTTAGTCTGCATTACAACATAGGATAAAGGTAGGGTACTTGGCTACAGTACATGAGCGGTCAGTGCTTGAAAACGCCGATATGACTTGAAAATGAAAGCAGGACCCTTTATTTGCATTCCTTTCGCCATGTGTTTATCCTCACCGCTTCTCAGTGTAATTATCTGTGATGTTGCAAATGTTGGGAGATGAAGCCAACTTACTCTTGTGGGGCCTCTTAGGTTGTTGTGTATGTGTTCTGAGTCATACCTAACAAGGTAGTGAATGTTTGAATTATACCGTCTCCAACGTTTGAATCACCAGAAAGCAAGGTATGCTGTTAGATCTAAGAAATCAAAAGACCCCGAAAACAGAAACTTCATTTATTGCACGTTTGTGCTCGTTTTACGGAAGTGAATGCTCACAACTAATTTCTACATTGGATAACTCACTGTCGTTTTGATTGTCCTTTCCAACAAATCTATCCATCTTGACGAATTATATGATCCAAAACGCTAAAATTACGGACCTTGATCACTGATCGGATTAATGCGGTTTCAGTATCACAGTCGGACAACTTTGTACTCATATATACAATCAGTGGGTAATAGATACGTGTCATCAACATGCACTGCTGAGCTGTCTTGGTAAGCACATCGGTAACTAATTAAACGACGTATAATCCTGCACAGAATAGCCATTAAATCAAAAAGGAGCTAGAATTTTTTAAAAAGTATGGAAAACGGATGAGCTTAAATAGATTAATTTTTTCAACGTCCACACGATTATGCTCATTTTCAAATCACACTATGAGGCCTCCAGTCGCTGATTGCCGAAAGATCAGTTGAAGTAGGGTTACATATCCATGTATGGTGAAGAACATTAATTGTTTTATTTAATTGGATAGTTGGGACAGACTACATCACACCATTGTTAAGCGTATCACCCTAGCCATCATCTATTAGGGCATGTGCTGTTCTAACACTAACCGGTCATCTAATTTATTGTCGAATGGTCTCATCTGCTGACAGAACTTAATATGAATAAAGGTATCTTAAGTTGTTTTTCCTAATTATGAACAATGTTTCAGATGCATTTGTAATTAGACATCCATGGTTATTAATGGGGGTGTTAAAATGAATCAATTACTCTGACGTTAATGCAGCTTAATTTGATGAGTACTGATCATAATCTGCTAGTACTTCCAAGATGTCAGTCAAATTGTCAGACTATTCCGGAGCCTATATTTTTGCCCAGAGAAATCACTAATAGTCTAGATTTTTTATCTGCAACAAATACATAAGTGTTCAAGAAAATAGCTTACGAAGGTGCGATTATTACATGATCTGAACAAAACATGATCTATTCCTCACAATTTTGTTCTTAACACAGTAGAAGTGCAGATTGTAAACAGCCATTTTCATGTTTTGGACAAACTTGTCCTCCTCTTATTACTTTCTATAACTGCTGGTATTTTTTGTCTTTCCGTGTGTTAACCTTCTATTCAGTCTACTGATGTATTGTGACAACATAAACCGATATTCACTTGTATCAGGTGTTATATTTATACCTTTCTGTCTGCTTCATCAGGTGTATCAGTGATGATCAACTGGAGATCAGAGAAAACTGGTGCGCTTAACCAACTGGGTCGTTTACAAAATACTTCATCCGCTTTTCAAGAGACTAAAGATTATTGTTCAGCATGTTATCTACTTCACACTGTTTTGCTGATACCTGGCTTCTTATCTTAAGTAACTGAGATGAGCTGGAAAAGGTTTCTAAAAATCATTGGGTGTATCTACTGTTCCTATCTTAGCGGTATTGTGATAAACGAATCTCATGCCCTTCACATACGCCTACGAGACTCGTGGGCATTATACTTGCGAATCACGTAATGTCGATAAACAGGATTGTATCTGAAGCAACTCTGACATTTTGACAGCATCTTGTAAGTACGGCTTATGGTCATCTAAACTGACACAGTTGAATGTCAGCACTAAGTATAGTCATTTTTTTAGTATAATTTCATTTAAGGGGATGAGTTATGTCAACGTGGATAGGATTAGGTCAGAGAATAACTAGAGGTAACTGGATCAAAATATGACATCAATCCATGAAGTTTTAGCTCTGTAGGAAAGTTCAAACTTCCCAAGTTAGAGTCTGTTAGGCGAACGAAATGAAGTTAGAGACTGAATAGTGACTCAGAATCAGCCGCAGTAACACATTCATCTCTTACCTCCGTCTAAATGTATCGACAAACGAAAAATTCTCATATTAAGTAATCAAATATAGATGTAACAGCGAAGGAAATTCTCTTTTCGATGGTTTCATTTACTGAAGATGTACAATCACATTTAGTGGTAAAGTGCTCACCGTGAAACTTGAAGGGCTAGAGTGGCACTCTGTAACTTACTAAAAGGAGTTTGATGAAGTGTTAAAGAATAAAACTGTTGATATTTTTCCTCTGTCCTCTGGATAACCAAGCTGAACAATGTTCTAAAATACGCTTACGGACTCGATGCTGTATGCAGCTCCATAGGAACAAAGTAAACCGACAGATGCACAGTAGCGACCAAATGCAATATTCTGTCCTCAACGCATTGATGGACTAATTACCTGCTGGAGAGTGCAGTTCTCAGACTGGGTGCGCTAAATGTCTTCCTCAAGGATTTCGGCTGCAATATCGCTTTTGAATTTAGGGTTAATGAAAAGAGTTTTCTCTGAGATGATCGGTACCTTTCGTATCTATGGCTTTCCTTTCGCGTTGGAGTCCTCGAATGTAGGTGAAAAATAATTTCCTAGCAGGACGTTACGTAGAGTTCGTAGCTCACTACCGAGTGTATCTTCAGGACAGATCTGTATCCTTGAACAGAACCGTACAGGTTTTTTTTAGCTAATAAAGAAGGACATAGTTTTCAAAGTTGGAAGACTGTCCAGTTCATGTTGGTTCGAATAAAGCAAGAAGAACAAGAACAGCAGAATTAGCATGCATGTAGTTTGTGGATTCTTCACAGCTGCTTTACAACGTGTAGAAAATAATGTTTATGGTGAACTATGCTATGGAATGTACTTTAATGGATCCCAAGAGTTTTTCGAACTGAGATGGGAAGGTAAAGAAAAATTAAGGTTGACCAACATTGGTGAAGTTATGGAGACTACTCAGAAGTTAACTACTTATACAGTGATAGAATAAACTCTAAAGAGATCAAAAGCATTGTATGTATGTATACCAATTATCCTACTATTGTTCTTCTTGCTTTATTCAAATTCATGAAAAGGAAGAATAGCATGAAGTTCATGTTGGTTTGCAGTTGATAGAATTACCCAATCCCCTTTGTAGCACATCTTTGAGTGCGATTGTACAGCTTTCGTAAGTGAAATCGTCGAGGAGATTTTCTTTGCTGTTTTATCTCTGTTCATCTCATGACGTATTATCTTCGTTTCTTTGTCTTTCCTGTTGTCGCAGTTATCATGCGATCTGCAAGTCACAGTCGGTTACCTGGTAGACATTTTATGCACCAGAGCACTTCATTTACCATAGCCATTTATTATCAAAGCTAAACACTTTATTGATCTTCATTTGTCCACAGCATAGTGAGTGATAATCAAAGTGAAATGGGACTCAGAGTCGTGGCATAATTTTACTGAGTAGACTCCATCTGACTGTTCTGGTGGTCTACTAACTCTTGCTTTTTCAGGCGCATGTCGTCGGTTATATCTTTCATATGGTAACCGTGGGTTTTTTTTTGTAGAGGTTAATATTTCCATCTCTGAAGCATTTATGTCGTCACGAAGCCCTCTGTGACTGAGGTGGCGCGGATAAGATAGTTATCTTAATTGTTTAGTGGCTAACAGCGGGATCCACGATGCACATTTCACCAATAACGGTGTTCCCACCGATATCCGAACGCAGCACCAGTCAATTTAAACGCTAGGGTGTTATTTACTAGACTACTGAGTCACGAAAGGCACCTTTTGTGCAGTGGGTATCATTTTCGACATATCGATGCTTATAAATTTCCAATTGATCAGTGTGTTGGCATATGGGCTACTTGAACGGGTGTTCCATTTTGATGTTTGGTTAATGGTGGTCAGCGGTGGAATTCAGACGCGCGTTTCGTTGGTGACAGTCGGTTTTCATCTGGTAGCTACTGTAGTAACAGGTGGAAATACTGAAAAATTGTTTTAAAGTGATAGCTCACAGTAAGTTCTCATTGTAATGCAGTTTTGAATAAACAGCCAATGTGTCGCTATTGTATTTCATTTTATCCGCTCATCTGTAGTCTATATTAGCCGATATAGCTTATGCTCACACTGGCATTTCACGGAACGCTTATATAATACAGACTGAATATTGTGCAACTGTTAACTTTGAATGATTTGGTTCCATACAAGGTAATTTCAGTGTTTTATGTTTCTTTATGTCTCTCTCAAGTGTGTGGCGTAACTAATAATAGTCGCTGTCCATGTATCAGCATCATCCTTCGGTGTCGAACTTATCGCATTCACCACAGCTCCTCAGCCATACTACTCCAGAATCCTCTTACCGAAAGAATTGGGTAATAGCCCACTAAACATTCGTTCAGGAGACATTCTCTTTTAAATGGTTCAAGTTCAACATCATCTGAACGTTCTAAACAGTCATTGGTTTCTGCTTATTTTGGTCGTAATCGAAATGCACATCGAGAGTCAGCAAGTTATATGCCGACTATATTCAACTTCCAACCAGTAATTGGTTATCATTCCTCAGCACTTAGACGTCGCGTTGGTCGTGCAGACGGCACTAAAACAAGCCTAGTTGGACCGTTTGAACCCCCTAACTCTGATATCATCATTCAGCGTGGTTTAAAGGTCTTTGAATCAAAGAAACGTGCTCATGAAGCTGTTGATTCTGGCACTTCTAATGCAGAGGAATCATCTTATGGATCTGGCCTTGGGAAATCTAAACGCCGGCGAACTTCTAGACCACTCGACTTATCTACTTTAGGATGTACAAACGATATTAACGGGTTTTCTTTCACATCACTACGCCAACTGAGGAGTGGAAATATTACAAGTTTCTACCCATTTGATAACCTAACTTCTAATAAAACCAATGATCAAAATAGCAAATCTGTTCAAACACAAATTGTTAGTGAATCTGGAGATGATGGTACAGGACTAAACACTGTTTCTACAAGTCATATCGAATTATCTCAAATGACTACTCCTGGATCTGGTGCAGCTCTGAGACGAAAAATTCCATACATGTCACCATCTGAACTTGAAGCTCATTTGTTGTCTGCCAAAGCTGTGACATATACAGAGCAGTATTCAACAAATAACTCTGTTGAAGCGGATGATTGCAACCTTCTTGAACTAGATATTTCACCTGTCCAGTGTGTAAGGAGGAAGGTTACAGCTCGTAGGATTGGACCCGAAAACGACCAAACTGTGGTTTCAGTTCAGTCCGCTTCAAGTAATTCCACGTCACCACTGGTCAATAATGCTATAGCTTACGACAATAAAGAAACAAATAGTTCGGAACTTACAGTTGTCCAGCCAACTTCGTTGAATCGATTTATTGCAAACCTTGAAAGTCATTCAAATCTATCTCTGGACTCACCGAGTAAAGGTGGGTTGTTTTATCGCCCGTCTGGAGGCTTTGATGTTGAGTCCCGAGTGAAACGGATCCGTGAATTAATTTCAGTTCAGCCGAGTAGTCAGAGTCATTCTGTTTTATGTGGCCTAAACACTCACATAACTACCAGTTCCAGCGCAAGTACAAATTATTTCAACCCTGTTATTCAGAATCTAGTTAGTTCAAATGCGCCAACTGTCACTTCTTCCATATCAATGTCATTTACTGGTGTGTCTACAGCTTCTTGCATGAGTTTCATGTCGGCAGTTGTGTGTAGTACCCCCGGACTAGTACAAAATGTCACCTCAGTTACTAGCACAACACCATCTTCAACAAACTCTAAACTTTTTAATTTTGCTGGACTCAGTTCAACTAACGGTGTTGTGTGTACTCAGTCTGATGTATCCAAATCCGTTGCTGTTACTTCTATTGTGAGCTTACCTGTTAACATAGGTTTTGGTTTCGCCGCTGCCTCGAATACATCAGCCCCACCTATTTCAGTGACCAGAGTGGCCACCGTATTGGCAACTGAAGTTACCTCTGCCACATTTTCTCTTCCTTTTACCACGTCTACACAGGTTTCAGTATTGAAGGAACCGACAACCACTTCAGTTTCACTGCCAACATCGACTCCAATCTCATTTCCAGCTTTTAATTCAGTTGCGAAATTTGGTGTTAATTCAACGCCTCAAACTACTTCCTCAGCAGTTCCATCTTTCTTATGTACTTTACCGAGTAGTACAACATCTACAACTATGATGACTTCAATGACGATAACAACTGCACCAACAACAGCACTAGTGACAACTAGTGCTACCTTCTCGTTTGCATTTCCACCTGCGTCATCAAATTCTTGTTCTCTACCGTTACAAACGACCTGTAAGTTGGTTTTTCAGTCTATATAACTACCTTTATGTCTGTTATATTTCTCAGCTGTTGAGAACTACAATTTTTTTTATTGTTGTCTGCTGTCTGCAATCTTTTAGTAGCAGAATGAGTACACATATCGAATTAGCTTTCGTTGCAATATTTATTACATTATTTTTTACTATAACCTTCTGACCAAGTGAGTAAGTATATTGACTCACTTGCGAAATATGGTCAAGTCGAAGGACCTAGTGCTCATTGGTGACTAGCTTTGAGAAGTAATTCCTGAAGTTCCAATGAGAAGTCATGACCGGTGGGGCAAACCTGGGAGCAGTGAGGACAAATAATCAACGATGACTGGGTGATGGTCGCGATTTGTCATGAACTGACGGAGGTTGGCTCAATGGCCAAGGTGCTGGCCACGGGGCCTGTAGGTCCTGGGTTCGATCTCCGGCGCGGTGGGGTCATGGGTGCGCATTGCCTAGGAGTCCCATACTAGGACTAAACAGTTATCCAGTACTTCCAGGTTTCCAATATTCCTCCAGCTGATATCCGTTCTGAATACCAACTTGCAATCAATAAATCCCCACAAACCCCAAATTGAATAATGCTAATTATAATCAATAATCTGAGTATTGTAAGGATTATTAATCGCAGATCGGAACTAACGTGTTACAATTACTTTTTATTTTAACTTTGCGGTTTGCGTTCCTCATATCTTAACATATTAGCTCTAATCTGCCATTAAATTTCTAACAATACTCAGATTATTGATTGTAATAATAATGATAATAGTAACAATAATAATAATAATAATAATAATAATAATAATAATAATAATAATGATTGACCTGTTTATTTTTTAATCTATTAGTAATCACGTTAATCTACTGCATACTTCCCTTGTGTACACTACAATTGCGCAGTCCCTTTCTGACTCTACACTGGACCCACAGTTTCACTCTAGAACATTTTGTTTTAATGACCTAATATCGACCTATTAGCCAATAATCGACTCATCTGTTTGGTTGTTATTATTATGAATACGATTGTGTACAGCTGGTTAGAAAATTTTCTTCACCGAATTTGTGTTTTGAATGTCTCAATGGGAACTTTTTTCTGATCTTAAGTGGGATTGTAGTAGAAAGTATTTGATTACCAGACTGATTTCACCGTGTTTTGAGTGTTGTCTAATACCATCAATATAGTGGCAGCTAAGTTTTCAGAGAGCCTATATGTGGTGGATAGAAGTTGATTATCACGCTTGCAGAAATCAACAACTGGAATGAAAAGAAACCCCACCTTACTGGTGGTTAATGTACTTGCAACTATATGGGAATCTTCGTTACACGATCGTTTAATTGGTGGTAATGAGTCTCCAATAGTTACACATACATTATGGATTGCGTTGGTAACCAACACTAGATACACTTCGGAATGAAATCACAAGGGTCATTCGATATTCACACAAGAAGCCTGTATAGTAACAGATATCGATCAGTTAGCTTGTAGGTTATTTCCTTTCTGCGATGATCAAAATCATCCATTTATCAAACTTGTTTATTGTATTAAAAGCTCGACTGTATGTGCTTTATATCCACATTGTTTCAAACTTGAGGTGATATTGTTGCACACAATCTTTTGCTGAATACTATCTCACATTCATTTACTTTTAATTTTTAGCTTCAAACTCAGCAATGACAACAAACATTACATCAAATGTTTTTGGATCAGTAAAACCGATCTCCACCTTCGGTGGATTTTCTTTCCGAAACCCACTACAACGTCTTTGTCGGGCCCTCCTCCCAGTGACTCATCCTCTGTAGTCAAAACTGATAGCAGCAACAAACCGTTCACTTTTAGTTCAAGTGGTTCGCAATCTCTATCTGGATCGTCTCCACTATTTACTTTTGGTGCATCCACACCCACTGTATCTCCACTTAACCCGGTTACATCTATTAGCTTTGGCTCAACATCTGCACCATCATTTTGAGATCATGTGTGACAAGTAGTTTTGTATTCGGAGACAATCTGTCTAAGCCTACAACAACTGCTGTCTTCAGTTCTTTAAATCAATCTATTGTTTCCACTACAAGCTCACAAAATAGTGGTACAAGTAGTGCTGGTCTTTTTAATTTTACATCACCAGTTACTGGCGCTTGTGGTTTATCATTATTTGGATCCAGTCCTGTCACTGCTAGCTGTGCATCTGTATCACTTCCTGTCGCACCATCTGTGTCTGGCTTCAGTGCAAATGGGATGAAGCCATTGTTCACTCCGGTGTCGGTTTCTCAACCCACAACATTCTCGAATAGTTCTTTTACTCTGGGAATTAAACTTGCTAATGTGACACCTGTAACATCTGCATCTTTATTCGGAACTGGTGGCCAGCCTTTTGGAAATGCAACTACGTCGTCAAATTTCAATTTCGGCCAACTGATTCCGAACAATACATCTAGTACAATTAGCAGTAGTGGCATTTCATTCGGTTCGGTTAACGTGCCCACATCTTCAAATTCTATGACGCCTACTAGTACAGTTTTCAATTCGGTAGTTTCAATTCCACTGTAAAATCATCGACACCTACCACTTCTCAACCGTTCTCTTTTGCTTCACCGGCTCCAGTGTTTTCCCTAAATAAAATGTTTACACCTCTGCCTTCACAGCCGATATCGTCGTTCTCGTCGCTTAATTCAAGTGTCAAGCCTATCACTACCACTATTGCTTTCCAGTTTGGTTCCAGTACGGTATTTTCTAATAACAGTTCGTCAACTAGTTTTAGTGGGTTCAACTTTTCTCAAACACCGACTTCGACACCAAGCGTAATTAATCCCCAAGCAAATACTGGTTTTGTGTTCGGTCAAACAGGATTGAATACAACCTTTAATGCTAATCCGTTTACTTTTGGCACATCTAAAAGTCCATCCACTGCCCCAAATGCACCTCGTCGTCGACCTCTTTCAAGCAGGCGCTCTCGTCGCCCATGATTATTTACGTATTTTCTCTAACTAGTGCGGTTTTGTTTGTTTTTGTTTAAAAAAAATGATAATGCCAACTGAACTACTTTTTTTTCTCATCAGAGCTATTATGTGCCACACTTGCTTGTGTAAACACAAATTTAAAATGTTCATTAAAAAAAGTCAAACTACTATGTCGTATACAGAGTTGGTGTGTACATGGAAGTCGTCATTTCCCACCTTTTTTCCAAACCTGGTACCATTTAGAAATGCTTGTATCTCTTCTTCCATGTGAATTAAACACAGATTGTTCACAGTTGTATCTGTTTAAACACAAGGAAGTGTTGTATATTCCCTCTTCTCCCTATGGATATTTTATTTTTCAATCCGATTTAAAACTGTTTTATTTTGGAATGTAATGATCGTAAAAGAGATTGATGTGAAGTATAAAATGAGGCTGGTAATCATTATTTTAAGCTTAGAAGAAAATAGCTTTTCCGCACCAATTATTACGCTTTTCTATATAAAGACTAGTTTTACAAAAGAGTCGTATCCTCAACAGCACCTTGTTTTTATGACTGACTGATGCAAACTTTTCAAGCATTCAGATGTCTATGGGTTTCTGGATTGACATCATCAGAATTAACGTCTTATGCTTTCAGTGAATAATAAGTGTCTGGTCGGATTGCTAAGTCGCTTGTTTTTGTTCATTGGCGGATATCAGGATAGTCTTGTTATTTCTCGGGGAGTTATAAAAAATACACTGTTGTGTCGAAGGGGTATTTGTCTGCTTGGTTAAATTTTCTGGTCTGATGAACGTCTTAGTTAACACTAAAGATAACTGCGTGGCATCACCTACTATTAGTCACTCAAAGTCTTACCAGTGGACTGGCTACATCGTTTACTATTTATGGAATGTACGAATTCAACTGTTAGAGGATATATGTATGCGGTGTTGGTTCAACATAAAACGGGATTACAACCGTCTGAAAACGTTTTTATCATAGGATTTAGAAACGCTTATAAGAAGCATCACAATAAGGTGCGTGCAGCTTATGAAGGCGGGAATTTAACGAAAATCGGACTATTATGCGACCATAAAATGTACAGTCTTATACTTCATTTAAAGAAACAAATTACGATTATAATTGTTCAGCATGTGGGCTGATTCAGTGAAGGTTAATAAGGGCTTGCGGATAACAACTTCTTGTGAATTAATGGATGGACGCACCCCTATAGGCTCCGGGCACGATGAAAAATGCAAACTGCTGAAATGTAGACTCACAAAAAGTGTATGATGGTAGCGAAGAGTGGTAGACTGCAAAGGTTAAGGAAATGTCGGAAGGCGGCGGCGATAACCAGTGGTAAATTGTTATTCAGACTTATTCAGGAAACTGGAGCATAAAGGTCAGTGATTAGTGAGACTATAGCGGAGAAGGATAGGTCTTTGATTCATTCGCAGGGGAGATTAGCAGAACACTTCGAGAAGCAGTTCAGCTGGCCTCCAGCCACTATTTCTTGCTCATCCAGTCGGAGCATCGAGATAGGGCCCTCAACAATTGCTGAAGTCGAAGAAGTGGTAGGTAGCCTGAAACGTGGAAGAGCAGCAGGGTCAGACAGACTGGTTACAGAGGTATTTAAGGACGATTCTCAGGGGTCCTTAGTCAAATTAACTGGTGGGTGGGAGTCAGATACCATCTCTGACTGATCACAATAAATACTTGTCGCAGTCTTCAAAAAAAGGCGAGAAGCCCTCTTGTGATAATCACAGTGGATTCAGTTTAACGAACATAGGAAATAGCATTCATTCTAGGTTCTGTAATAATTAGACTTCTGACTGGACCTCGGAAACAGCAAATCCGAGAAAACCAGACAGGCTTCAAACTTGTTACTGGGTGTATCTACTAGATATTCACTCTCCTCCAGGCTCTGTAACAGCACACTTACCGACACTGGATGTATTTCTCGATCTGAAGGCAGCATTCAACTCCGCCGATTGAGGGGTCTAGTAGGAGTGTCGAATAAGCCCTCGACTCTGTACTCGGACATTTGTGGGCGTGTTACAGCCTAGTGTGACCTTTCAGGAGCGCTGTCCACCTCAGGGCTGTTTATTCCTATTCCGTTCTATCATAGACGCTGTTATGGAGGCACATCTGTTGTCGTCTGACTTCGGAGGGATTGGTCTAATCATTGGTAGATCTAGAGTACACAGATGATATAGTCTTATTAGATGAGGATGTGGAGTCTTCTGGACACCTTGAGTGGCAATTGAGAATGTTTGGGATGCATTTCTCGTCACCAACACGCAAATCGTTGCTCCAGGACTTGTCTTCAGTGGTGCCACGTCTAACAAAGGTGTGAAATGATTGAGTGCATTGAACTCTTCCTGTACCTGGGAAGTCGGACCAGCTGTGATGGATCAGTGGTACGCATACATGACCTCGTTTGGTATTGACAATAAGAAATTCAGGTTTTGTGGAGGGTACATTATCATGCGTTTGGTTTCCAATGGTCCACATTCATGTAGAAAACTTAAGTTACCGCTAACAGCTAGGATTTTGGTTTCACAGATCAATGGATTGCACGACGTCTCAAATTCATCAATAAATACTATCTTGACACATTTATTCTGAACCGAAAGAGGTCAAGTCATTAACCGACCAATTTAAGTGAGTCGAATAAGGATCACTTGATAACGCTGAGTTTAATGTATCTAGGTCACTGAAGTTTGTGTTACATAGTAGCTTTGCTTACTGGTTAACATTCGCAAATACCACCGAACTGTCACATGGTAACGAGTTCAGATGATGTGACTGATCGAACGCAGTGTTTACTACAATTCATTAAAAATTAAACAAGTTGAAATTTTAGTAGGTTTTTAAAAGCAACTTTGTACATAGTCTTTTCAAAAGAATTAACTGATTCTCTGTGCGAATGTCCCTCCTGCATGCAGTTTCAATCCAGTATGTAGTAGTTTTGCAAATATCTGTAAATTACGTTCATTAAGAATTTTCTGAACGATTGTAAGTTCGTTTGAAATACCGTATCTTCTCAGTGGATTTGATTGACTAATTCTTTTTGACTGAACAAACTTGCTTGCATCAGAATCGGGTTGGTTGGTTGTAAGAATTCACTAAAATTATAGTTGATTTGTGGATTCGTGTTCTCTCCACTGGAGACCTTCAGCACTCGATTTTGTAGTGTACATCTGAAAGTAATTCAAAAGTTATCTTTAATTTTACTTGAAGTCTATTACTAATGTATGTAAATTATTTTGTGTGACTGAGTAAGTTTAATTCAGTGTTCTGATAAGAAGAATAGAAAATATTCTCCATTGTCTTGTCATTCGATTTTGGATAGACTTAGAGACTCCCATTGCCCTAATTCTGTTTGATTTGCTTAGGTTGGTGCGTACATCATCTTAGGTCATGTATTTAAAAGTAATTGTGAATCCAACCAAGAATCGGCAATTTCTTTATTCCATGGAAACTACTTACCTATCTTTCTGAATTCCACGTAACTTGTACTAAAATAAATGACCTGTCTATACAGATGATGTTTTATTTCTTGTACACGAAAATTCAAAGAAACAGCTTTCATTTTTAATCTCTGCATTAAGTAGGCTATGTGAAAATTATGCCTTCAGGTACACTAGTTTCAAAGCAGTTTGAAATGTTCATTCTAGAGAGTGGTTTTCTTCTGAATATGGAGTGTACTCACCGTTAAAAGACTTCAAGATTCGAAACTTTCGTATGTTACATCACCGCTATCATACTTGTCCGGGCTTTGTAGTGTGACTGTATTTTTCTGTCAAGTTTATTTATAATTCGGCATGTGTTTTGAAGCTGTCAACTGTAGGATGCTTGCGTACTGGCTTACGTTGACGTGTGGCCTAAGAATAGTAAATAAATTGATGGGAGGATGTGTTGACCGCTTTACCTATTTGTGGAATTCCATCAGTTTTCATGGACTGTTTGTTGACGAAATATTAGTTTGGATGCCAAAGGGTTCGGTTGGCATTTGTCGGCTGATCTCATCCGGCACCAGTGATATACTTAGTTCCATCAAAAAAGAGGCGTGGAGTGCCAATCTCAGTAGGTGGAGCAGGGTTTGAACCTGCAACCTACTAGTTGAAAGTCAACTGCCTAAGCCAACCACCCACAGACCTATGATTCACTGTGCAGCACTTCTGTATCCGACTTAACAGCTGTGAGTCGGCGTTTGAAAGACAGGAAGATAAACGTTTTTTTAATCATAGGTGTTTTTGTACAAATGGTCGCATGCGGTGAAACCACACCGTTGAAGGTGCGCGTAGAATACTAAGCACGGAAAACAAATCAGCCCATGATGCGAAGCTTATCACAGCGAAATGGCTTAGACATTTGTTGTATATCCCAATCACTACCAACTTCAACGCAAAATGTTGATTGCATTAAGATTAAGTTGTACAAGAGGCTAAGGGTGTTTATACCAAGATACAGCATCAAACCATAGAGGCTGTGACTAGTGTAGGAGTGGAACTCGTGCATTGTGGCAGTGTATAATTCCATGTCATATGTATGTTCCATATTAATACTGTTTCACTGTGTGAAATATCAAGTCAACAATCCATTATGGAAGTCTGTGACCGTTAACCTAAGCTTTGTGAGTCCCGTGGCTCGGCACGTCGACATGATAAGAACCATTGATTGCAGACTTGGTGACGCAACTCAAAGTTGATCACAGCGACACAGATGCATACACTTGGAAGTCTTGTCAACCTTCACCTGTTTATCCTTCCACGTTAAGTGGAGCTGCGACCCAGTGGTTTAGGGAGATGACTACCAATCATTGAGCACATGTTTGTGCCTCGCTCCGCCTACCGAGGTTTGAGCAGCCAGGTTGTACCATACGACAGGTGTGGCTCACTGCCTACTGTACAAATGATGTACAAGGTAGCTGAGTTTTTACGTTTCATCTCTCACACACTTTTGTCTAAGTACGAATTTCTCCATCCACTTATTCTTTTGGATTCTGGTGTGAACTGAGGCATCTTGAACTGATGAGATTCTGCGCGAAGCTCTACATTGTTTATTTAACTACCTTTTCGCACTAATCTACCTCTTTATGACTATGCGTGAGGTGCGAGTTGTATCACATTAGGCTGATACGCTCTGTTCATAAGCTATATCAAAAAGAGTCTATCTGATCTGGGTTATTCTGAATGTTGTGATTTACGAACAACACAGTGAAATGACAAGTCATGAATTACACTTTACACACCCTTTTTTAAGTTTTTTTTAACATGTGGTGCTTTCGATGCATATATTGTGTCCTGTCATCTTTTCACGCGCCAGTAGATTCACTTTAGAATGTTTTATTAGGTGAAGAAATGTCTTCAATTGTTTTGTTGTTTCAGTTAGATCGAGACATTTCTTTGTTTCCAATCTAAAGGTTATACTATTTGACCAGCTGAAAATTGACCAATAACGCTCAATGACCGAAACCAATCTTTTGATTACTACTTCTTTGTGGAGAAATTCAGTGTGTGGTTCTCATTTCAGGGTATGAACATTGCGAACGTTTGGAGTGATTCTAAGCTTTCCTAATTAACACATACACCCTTTAACAATTAAGTGCAGGCTAAAGATACTACTTATGAACAACTCGAGTAGTTAGAAACCACTCAGGCTGACTTGTAGATTTCACCAGCCAACTGGCGGCACTTTTGTGTCGGAGATCATACCCTGTGTTTTGGCTGGGTGGTTTCCAGCGGAGACCTTGTTGACACCACAGTTAGGCTCTTGAAAAACTACTCTTCTGTGAGAAATGCCAACGTGGGTCGTAAGTCATTTGCAAATTGATCATTCTATTTAAGTGCAGGTTGTAAGGTGCACCTGTAATGCGAATGTTAATGTCACCTGGCTGCACAAAACTCGGTGGTCAAAGAGGATTGAAAAGGTGACTTGTTAGTTGGATGTTGGATTCTCGCAGCAGTTAACTTTAAGTAGGTAACTAGGATTGGTAGTTTGGGACAGGTAAACCGTCTCTTGAGTAAATTCAGGTAAAATATCAGTTAATTCAGCTTCTACTGGAACTGACCTTTAAGGTTAAGACAACCTGAATTGACTGGCTGGTAGTAGTGATAAGTTTCACTTGTCTCTAATGGTAATGTGTGACAAATCTATTTGATCGCATATTTTATTGTCTTTATCGATCTCCAGCAAACTACTTTGATTTTGGTGGTTTACCAGCTATTTCTTGTACTTCTGTTTAACTGTTGGTGTTCGTTATTCCCCAACACGCACTGGAGTTTTCGATCATCAGAATAAAAATAGTCACCCTTAAGTTTACTCGGTCGTTTTAAGTAGCGCAGATCTTTCATATACGCTAGAAGTTAATTATGACATTGACAGAATTTTTTACCATAACGCTCACGACTGAGATAGTATTTTGGGAGTGTCTATTACGATACCAAATAAAAAGCGAACTCTATCCCAAATTTGGTTTTACTCTGCTAGAAAGTTGTCGTAATGTTACCAACAACATTGGGAGTTCATATAGCAACTTAATTTCCCAAGGATTGATGTCTTGTGTACGAAAAAGGGAGTGGTAGTGAATAATGCTTGTCGCAGAAGAAGCGCATGTCATAAGTTCATCACACTTTAGTGTTTAGAATGGTCTTGGCTGGGTCCGAGTCTGTATAATAGAATTATCATCACTGTCAGTCCCTTTAGCTTGAGGAGCTCGAAATGGGACTAGACACTTCTCATATCATTAGTATCTACCAGCGTAGTGATATCGCGCTGGGCTAGTGCAACTTACAACTGGCGAAAACAAGACTTTTCTAAATACATTACTGAGAGAATTTAAGATGTGTTAATCTTATATGACTTGTAAAAGATTTTTCGCTTCTTTTGAGTGTTCCCTATCGGAAATAATATAGATTAATTTGTTATTAAAATACGTAAAGCTTACCCGTTCAAGTAGTGCACTGCTAATTTTGCTTGTTCTTGATCTGACATGATAACCAGTGCTTTCATTTCTTGCCTTTCATTATTATTGTTATTCATTATTAGTGTATTATTCTCTCCATTGAATGTTGTCTCTTTTGTTGGAAGTAGCTGTACAGACAGTACACTTGGAAATGCAGAGAATAACCTCTGGATAATAGACTCGTCAGTTCCAGGAGCTAAACCTTCAACTTTTAACACTGTAGAGGGTGGTGAGGATGAAGAATTAAGATTAGTGGTAGTAGTGGTGTTTGTCGGAAAGAGACCAGTGGTTGTTGTTCCTCCTATACTCGGTGATACAACCTGAATTGAAAAATTCTGTAGTAGTTTAGTTGCCGCTACATTAATATCAAAATTTGGTGCCATCTGGTTAAGCAGAAATGAGTCTACAAGTGGAATGGATGATTTAACTGAATTATTATTATTCAAATTGCTAACCAAATTCAAGTTTTGTTGTTTATTTGCGTTGAAATTCACATTAGCTTGTGCTGTTGTAGTTGGTCCAATTTGACCGCTGTAGTATTCTGGACGAGTTAAGAAAGGAATTGTATTCGATGAAATGCTTGTGAGAACATTGTTTGGCTGAGAAAACAAATCACCAAGGGAATTGTTTGTTTGGTAAATACTTGTTAGCGGATTTAAACTTGATTCCATATTAGCTCCCATCCAGGGTACTGTAAGACTGAAGTAAAACAGATTGGTCAATCGAAGACTCAATACAAATACACTTCTTTAAATCTTAACTTTTTAAAGAATAAAGCAGTGTTCCTAATACATACCTAATACATACATGCTGCATACCATGTAGCATTCACTGCCATAACTTTGTCGTGGACAAATTTCTGTATAAAAACATTTTCTTCAGCACACATACTAACATTCTGAAGTAGTTAGTGATATGTTCATATGGGTTACTGTGTAGTGGGTATCAAATACTGGTAATATGACACTCAAAACTTTTATTTGCTGCCTTGAAGAGAGGATGATGCATCGTGCATGTGGCAGCCAGTATGTTTCGAATAGGTAGGCGTATACTGGGTTCACTGGTAAGATTCTCTTTTATTTTGATATAACGTGAAAGAATATGAATGCTGTTTAGACTGGTAAGTGAGTTGGATATAACCCTGATTGTTGTTTTGTCATACACCTGCTCAGTTTACTTTGGATTTCTACGCCTTTCCAGGCCAACCAGACGTCAACGACCATAAGGATGGCTTCTAATTAGGTGCATATACATGAAAACGGTCTACACAACAAGCCATCCACTCCTACTAACGGAGGAGGTCTCAAAGTCCCGGAGTATGTATCCTTACCCCTTTAGCAAGGACGGCCGCACGTGCCTGACCTGGGTTATCTCACCAAGGTCGGGCATACCTAGCACTCATCAATCTACTAATCTCGGCCTCCCTCCCACCGTGGTTAGGTGCCATACCATCCCTTACTACCTGCTTGGTGGCAGCAGACAATCGGTCAGGTCCAAGAGTCAATGGGCAACAGCTTCCGAAAACCAATTCTCCAGCTAGGAGGGATGACACAAGCTTCATCCCTTCGAGTGTTCGATAGATGCCGATGGTGTAGTCACCAGGGTGTCTAGTGAACAATCCGAAGTAGGACCATGCTTCGTACCAACGTAGGACTATATCTGGAAGCAAAGTCGGAAGTTGTTGTCATACCTTTCACTCTATCTACCATCAGTATCCACCTCTGGTAGCTTTATTCGTTCTACAACCAAACTTTCACCGTGTACCTCTGATGACAGTGCTAAATTCATCTTATGATCACAAATTAGAATAACATTTATCCTTTGTCTATTAAGTGTAGTCTAACATCTAGAACTTTTGGATCCAAGTACTGTAAGGAAAGAAAAAAATGGAAAATCTGATTTCAGCGGAACTTATCATCTAATTATGAAACAATAAATGATAAAGTATATCAGAACATTATAGTTGAAACATATCCAATGATGAGGTGCAGCATGATCAATTTAGTCGTAAAGGTTATAATGGGATATGAGTCATATATGCAGTTGTTACCTAGAGGTGATGTTAGACAAATACTGTGTAGTGAATGTTCAAATATTGTACCATAATTTGTGTGGATAATAGCAGGTAGTCTTCGCATAGGAAAAGCCAGAGTACCATATACAAATATAGATTACTCCTGGATTGTTACGAAATAAGTCTTAATCTAGTACGTCAGATATGATATATGTCGGTGGAATCCTTATCCTTGGCAATTGTAATATCTAATGATTCGCTTCTGAAGACGTTTCACGGTTGATGCTCAAGTCAGATGGAGTACGGTTGAGGCTGACACTCATTGGGTGAGTAGTTCCAAAGTAAGAATTTTGTTGACTTGGAAGCATTCTATGCACTCTGTCCCAGTGATGTTCACACATATAAATATTCACAAACGCTTGGACTAGTTAGAAGAAGTGTAAAGATGACCAGTTTACAACGTGGAAAGGTCCCAAGAGATGGCACGTTCCAGTGATATGAGATTTTATCGAATCGCCTCAGCATAAAATCTAGAAGCAGTCATAGTATGGTTCCCATGTATATTCAATTTTTATAAAATCATTCAAAAGTAATGAAAGCATCTCGTGGAAAAATTCGATTTGACTGGTTCTACTTTTCCAGTCACTTTGTTATCCTTTATCTCTAATCCGTATACTGTGACGAATAATAATTTTTATTACGCTGAAGATGATGCCAACAACTCACTTTGGAGTTCATCTTTATTGTAACATCTGTTATTGGGATTACAACTGTTGAGTTTTTACAAATAAATGATAAACACCCTCCTCAAATACAAGAGTTTTATTATTTACGTGTTTGGTGCTGGATTGAAAACACTAGATGCATAGTTCAAAAGTGTTGGGTGCTTGGATTTCTTGTAATGCCGGGATACAGCAAAAGTATATCTCGCAACCTGAACCTACTAATAACCACTGACTTCAAAATCTGATTATAGGTTGTTAAATTAGCGTTTAAGGATACATATACGAATAACAGATGTAGTATATTGACTACGTGGATTGACCTTATTCTTCAGACCTTAAGGTCGGCACATCATTATGTATACGCCATCGGTTTGAAATCGTATGTTTCACACTTTTTGACAGTGATGTTTGAACAGAATCTTATAGGATTAGGAGAAATCAAGCTTAATGCCTATGTACTTACAATGAAAATTAATGATTCTGTATGAAGTGCATTGAAAAAATGTACAAACTGGTTTACCAAATGATAACGTCTAGGGAGGAATTTTCAGTTTCAAGACTTCCACTTTATAAACCTTTGAGTTAAAAAACACTCTATCTAATCTTGCGTTTCAGCTTTTCAAAAGCGTTGTATAGTGCATATCAGTAAGTACGTATAGGTTTATAAAAATTGCCTTACCCAATTACTCCAGGTATCCGCTGTTGAGCTCCATTTAACTGAGATAGCAACTGTGTCTGTAAATGATCTGGTTGGTTTGTGGTAGCTGCTGCTATAGCTGCAGCTAAGGAAATTGCTGCATTTATATTGGAATCCGAATTTTTACTTATCGAGCGTAATCCACTGGCTGTGGCCGGAGATGAAGTTAAACTATTCCCGGAACCGTGATTCACATTTCAAATGGATTGATACGTATAGGTATAGCACAACCGTCTAAAGGATTAAACCTGAAATATCAAAATACACACTACTACAACTATCTATTAAGGTGCAGATGCAAGTTTTTTCTGACCGAAACAAGATGGTATATTATAACACTCATGTCTGTGATGTTTGTGTGACCCAGGTAGGTCAAGGGAAAACTTAATATTAATCTTTTCTGATTAGAACGCTAGAAGTTCCACATTCACCTAGTTGGTTATTGTTCTGAACAACGTGAGTTTAAGGATTTGTGCATACTGTTCGGAAATGACCAAGTGTAAAATTTTCTCAGTTGGTATTCTTAAAGAACTTGACCAATGTCTCTATGAAATTCCAAGGTTCTGGATTCTGCTGTTGGCCATCACCAAGCAAATAGCATCCGAATTTTTTAAAAACTAGTTATTAGCATCACTGACACCAGTTGAATTCGTATCCATTATGAAAATAAAGGTGACGTACGTCTCATTACGTCACACATTTATTTCTAGCATATTACAAATAAATAAAGTGGACAACACAAAGAAATACAATGATAAATTCGAAATGAGTAGTTGCTGGCATATAAAATCCAGGTCAGTTGACAGCAAACCTATGCAAAGCGGTTTCTCAAAGGTCGAGATAATACTTTTATGCCGACTGCTGATCGAACCTATCAGTTAAGAAATGTAATGTGATCATCAAATTGCGTGATACAGCACTGCAGTTGGTGTTTAGTTTTTACATGCAACAGGAAGGTATCTTTGGAATTTTCGTAGATTTGTAGACGCATATATTTTAGCCTTCTACCGAAAACTAATTCTAATAGTAGGTATGGCCATTAAATATTTCATTTGGTTTGCAACTGTTCGTATCGACCAGTAGTATCTTTTCTTCACTAGTGCTTTTGAACTCAACAATTAAAATGCAAGTGAGAAACAGTTTGAACTGTTCTACATGGATATTTATTTTCCTATATGTAACCATAATCTGAGTGTCAGTTTAACTTAGTCATAAAACTCTTGTTTCAAACCAGGAAGCTAATAAAACACTTAGGTGATTCCAGTTACTTCCGATGTGTTCATCTAACTAGATGGAAATTAGTAGTTTGAGAGACCTGAAAGTTTAAGTTGTAGCTTGTTGGTCTTAGCACTTGCGTCCAAATATGTAGGTAGCAGGTTGAAAACCCTGTTTTGATCACTTGAGATTTCAGTAGGCAGATTGTATCAGTGACTGACACATAGTAGGTGTGGTTCGTAGCTTATTGAGTGAGTCTATACTTAGTTGGCAGATTACACTCATTTTCTTCCCCGTATAACTTCTGAGAGATGCGTTGGAGATCGTATTTTAACCAGACTAGAAGCGTAACTTATCTTCCGCATGTGTGTTAGCAGTACTAAGCATTTTATGAATAAAGTAATTGGAAGAAAGTATCTGATAATTTGATCACCACTCAAAATGCCTTTTGAGACCAAACACCTCCTAAAGCTGGTAACGGTGGAGCAGGTAATTGTACCAGTGTGTGGAGCGCAACATAGCTGTTTCGTTTTGTGGTTGAACTTCGTCGGCATGCATTTATTTTCTTCTTAAGTAGTGAACTATTGACAGTAACCACTCTTGAACTGTGTGTCAACCTTAACACAATTTGGCCCTAAATGGCGTTCAAGTTTTTAAGATGACTTAAGTCATAAATGATTCTCAGTTATGATGAACATGAATATTATCTTACAGCCTAAGAGAAAATATAACTCAAGATACTAAGAAACAGATTGACAGAATATGAATCGAATGGAAATCAAGCCTACTAGTTATTAGTCTGTTCTGTCCTTTATGGCTTCAGTCAAAGTTGACTAGTTCATCAGTTTTTCATTACTATTTTAACTAGGCTAAACGCATATTTAGTTATTTGTTTTTGTAAAGCAAATGATTCTGGGAGTCATTGATTGATATTATCCTTTGATATTATCACTGCTCAGTGAAATGTGAATTCATAGGCGAGTCGTATTGTACACTAACTGGTCACTTAAGAGTATTCAATTTCATGTGTTCTAGTCCTAATTACTGACCGTATTCAAACTGTCATTTTGCAATCTGATCACCAAGCTTGGAGACACAAGATTTCGGTGCACTTTGGTGTGCGTTCCTTTCACTTTTAAAGATTCATATCTGAATTTGTTTTATTACATTCTGGATACTGGTGTTAATCAGAAGTGAATAATTCATTTATCTGCTGGGTGTACTCTTCAATATTCTTTTCTAGAATGACACGTAAATTTCAATCCATATGGGTACTGAGTCAGCTATACTAACACAATGTGTACTAGACAAGATATTGTGCATACACTGCATTTGGTGACTCCAGAAACTGTAGTTGCTTGACGTTGTTGACACTAAGGAGAAATTGAAATGGAAGTGGAAAAAAACCAACTCATGTTTCCCTTATTTAACTGGAAACGATGCATAATCAAACAGTCATTGGTATTTTTCGTGAAGTAAATAGTAGACAACATACCGTAGTTTGTGTACTGCAGATGGATGTACAGGTCCACCTACTCTTCGTGTAGACTTTCCACCACCAGGTGAGTCGGCTGTTAAGTTAGGTGTTGTTGAAGTGTGAAATATATCAAAGGTTGAATCACCATTTAAAATCTCTGGAGTGATTAGTGATTGTAATTCATTGGCTTTCATGGCTAGTTTGTTTAAATTCAACAAAGAAGATAAATTTGGTATATTTTGACTCTTATAATCAACACTGCTGTTATTGGTTGGTGAACTGAGCATAGGATTTGTACCATTTTTACCTGATGTAGGAATGTTGGCAAACTTTACAACAAGAGGGCTATCTGCCATTGATCCAACACGATAACCATTGAATTGTTGTATAGCCAATTCAGCCTCATGCCGTTGGTCGAAACGAATGAACCCCACACCTTTGGATTGACCTGGAGAGAAAAGTCATAACATCAATATACCCCTCATTTACTCTTTAAGGAGTATTTATCACCAAGTATTAACTTATACTATAGTACACGTCTAAAGAGTTGTTCCAAGCGACTGATTTTTCGCTTATTATTTTATGGACGGAGGCATGAAGTCAGATTCTCTGTATGTTTCTTATGTACAATAAATTACTGAGTTATAGGTCATATGAAGCGTTTCTTGTTTAGTAAGTCATTCAAAGGTTATGAAAGTTGCAATCTGTTTGAATAAACTCTTTATCTTCTAAGTAGTGCTACGGAAAACCGGTACCACTTTCCATTCGGTATGCATCATTCCAGGTTCTTGCTTCTCAGAGAGACTCTTTATAATCTCAGTCTATGCGATGCGCTCATCCCAACTAACAGCCACTTTACTGGTTAGTTCTTGTGTGTCAACCGTCTAAAAACTCGGCACAAAGATAAGTAGGGCCTTGTCTTTCAAGCCAAATGTGACATACCAAAAAAGACCAGTGAATTCAACTTTAGTTTGAACATTGCCCAGGACTACTAAATTTGTTAGTACATAGGTTTTTTGGTGATTTTTTGGTTTCATACGTGAGCCATTACTTGAACTGAAGCACTAAATACTAGTCGCTCCTTGGGTCACAAAAATAGCTGTGACCTCAATAAGTCATAATAACAATGGTTTTGAAGCTGGATGCGAGTCCTGAATTCATCTATCCGTCGTTAATGTCAAACTGAAAATACGGCCAATATCGAGGCATCCGCATAGCAGCACATATGCCAGTATTCTTAAACTGATTAGATCCTGTCAAATATGGGAAATTACAAGCCATAACATTTAGGACAACTACTGTGTTCAAAATATAAGTGAGCTGACGAAAAATGCAGGTCTATATTCAGTCAGCAACTCAAAAACATCAATAAGTGTACATTTCGACTTCCCCTGGTTACTAAGTCAGCCGCGTTCTTCATAAACCCATGGTAGATGATAATCAACGATTCTCTGAAAATAACCAGTCTCTTTATTCACATAATGAGTAACGATTTTGCATTATCTCAGTAGAAATCAACATTTATATCAATCAACCTACCTGTAATGCTATCAAAAAGAATTCTTGAGGTAATAATTTTTCCACATGGGTGAAATAATTTCTCCAAATCTGATTCAGTCATAAATTTTGGGAGGCCACAAATATACAAATTTGCCCCTTTTATTGATTCACAGCTTGGACGAGCAAGAGAAACCTGTTTTGCATTTATCATTATGAGAAGAAAAAAAGCACCAGTAAGGCAAGAAATAAGTAAACACGAAAAACTAACAAAATATCATCTGGGTTAATGTATAATTCAATGAATTGTTATCATTTATATTCATCCTGAACTGCGAAAGTCAGTACATTTCCAACTGTTGTGGGCTATTTAGGCCTTGTCAAAGTTTTATTTCTAACCGAGCAAATTTCATCGACTTTTTTGTAGATTGAAACTGCTTCTAAACTTCCTCTGTACAATCTTGTCTACTCGTTTTGTTTCAGTAGTAATCGTGAATTAAAAGAATTTTCCACTTTGTTATCTACTAATCGGCTAATATATAAATAAGGACGCTTAAATAACAACAAAATGTAATTTGATCAGCTTCCGTTTTCAAGACCATGATATGAGAACACTGAAATCATCTTTTATACAGTCTAGTCATTTTAAATAAACACTTGCACGACATTAGAAAAGTCTGTATTATAGAAGGGTTTTTATGAAGTGAATATGTAATCATTAGCTGTTAGAGTTACGGTCGACCGAAGATGACACATTTGTTGCTAGTCCAAGACTGTATATTGTCATGAAAACTTACTAAAGCTATCATTTCAGCGCTACAAAAATACTTAGTAACCCTATGTCACTATTGTGAACTTGGTTAAGTGTCCTGTATAGTGTCAGAAGATTTATTATACTACTATAGCCTAGATGAATAACTGGGAATTGAACTTATAGCAAAGCTGTAAAATGTTTTTTGCTACAGAATCGCTGCTAGTGACATTCTAGAAACTGCATGAATGACTGATAACGTCTCATAGATGGAGGATTTGATGCGGAGTTCTACAGGTAGTCATTTTCAACTGTGATGTAACACTTCACATTTGATATTCCTTATTTCGTTATAGTATTCAAATGATTTCCATCCTACCTGAATATAACTCATCACTAAATAATTATTATTTGACTCTTAGTAAACAAACACATATACATGCATGCCTCAATAGATGTGTCGATGAATCATCATCTGTAGATTTTGTCGCCTCATTTCGTAATTGTACTGTCAATATTGATTTCATTGCACAACTAACACACTAGACTGATAACAATTCCACCATTCCATTCGATTTGATCTCCATTCACCCTAACACTGAGTGTTCCAATATAGTAAAAGTTTTACATCATGCCTGTCCCAGATATATGGAAAATTCTACTACCCTTTTCATCACAGAGAAGGAGAGAAAATTAGGAATATATAGAGTCTGTTTCGAAGTTGTGGAGTTACCTGGTATGAATATAGACAACAAATTATGTCCGAAAAGTTATCCAGTAAATGCTACTGTTTTGCTGTGTGATATTTCTGATAAACAGACTAAAATGCCTTATTTTCGCCATTGTATTTCACTTATTCTCATGGACTTATAACTGTAGAGCCTGAAGAAGAAGTTATTGAAAATAGTTGTTCGCTCAAGTTTTTCTTGTTCTGAATAATCTACGGGGATCTTTAACTGATCATTATATTATCTTCTCATGGAAACTTTCTTAGTTTCCTTATATAATATTTCATGTTTAAATCAGTTGCATTTCTCCAGAGTTAGATTTCAAATATCCTAATTATCATGGAGATTTAGAGAAGCATTCGCAAACCTCAAATATAAATAAATTCTGTCATTTATGGAGCAAAAATGATTAACTTTTTAGAAAATTCCTTGGTTGAAGAAGCATTATAAACCTAGAACTCCTGAATGATTTGTTGCAGTGGTTTCATAGTAGTGCGCACTCATGATGTACCAACCCTAGGAGCATAAGTTTTCCAGCAAGCACTTTACCATTAGACCACTGGGTTGGTCGACACTTTGATCTTTCTATCAGTTCACAAACAACCTCGGAGTTGATCAGTTTGAACAAACTACCAATTGAGTTTAAAGAAATTATTCGAAACAAATTGATGACAGAAGTTATGCTATATATATGCTGATTTTCTCTACCAGCTTAGACAGAATAAGGAGATTTTCCGAGTCATCAAAAGCATGTTTTAGATGGATTCTTTAATTCGTCTTACACCAGTATTATGGAAGTGTATATTGACTGAAAATTAAACTGGTAAAAATATTACGCATGCAAACCAATTGTAAACTAATGCCTATATTTCATTGCCTAAGGTGTTAGATTTAGGTGTCTCAGGAATAAATGTTGAAACATCTCACAAGTTGAAATCTTTGAGAGAAATTTCGAATGAGCACTAGTTGTTTTTATAAGAATAGGACTTGGATGTCGTGAATTGGTGTAGTTCTGCACTACCTATGTATAATTGATGCAGATGGCAACTGTGAGTTGACACAGCATCACTCTGTTCTACATTACAGAAGTAAATGTGATGCAGGTGGTACGTAAGCTTTGAAAGATAAGACTAGCGAGAGGAAAGACCCTACTACCGAGCTAGAAAATAGTGCTTGTCAAAAAGTATGTAAAGACGATTGGCAATAGTCGAGAAGTGCTTTCAGAAAGATGGTTTCATAAATGTTTTCCAGGTGTGTACATAATTGAAGCCTGTACAAGAACTTGGGCGGTTAAATCTGAAATAAAGCTTAACTTTACTTGATTGCCTCCTGAAGATGACCATTTTACTGGCTAAGTTATTAGAAGGCTGGAATAGGTAGTTAACAAGATATTTGCAAACAGAAACTGGTTCTAGGTTGTGAGAAGTAGTATTTGACAGATGTGGGTTAAAAGTTGTTTATTTCATTTCACATCTGAACGTACGTTTCTGCTTATGGGTGCATACCAGAGCAAATAGGTTGTAAGCCAGAATAATGAGTTTTACTTACATCAAAAAAGTTGTTCCTACTAACCCATTTCGAAGACGATCACAGAGCACCCATAATGAGAATGAACATCAACACTTCTCAGAATGTGGTAGGAAACAGCATTCGCAATAATCAGCAGATAACTGAACTGCAGAAATTCCGAAACACGACTAGTACGACAGTGACGCTTTAGTGTTTTTTTGCATTCATGCAGTCTGTGTGAAAATTAAGCAATATTTCTAAAATGAAAGTGTGAAAGGTGACAATTTTATGTCCTTTTTTCGCTATCTCGGTATTTTTATAGATGTCTATTCATTTTACATTTTGAATACCAGTTGGAAAATTGCTACGGGGTAACGATGAGAGCACATTATACTCTACTGACAAATTAGTTTTTTGTATACAGTTATGAATCTTCTCCAGATTGATTAGTTAACCTGTAACTAGTAGGATGAGTGGATTATACTCGGAAGTACAAAGCCTATTTCCAGCAGCGAAAACTTTCAAACCTACTGGCTGGTTTGAAAAAAATTTGTAATCAACTTTTGATGGCTACATGTCAGTTTCATACTTATCTATTTATTCTTTTACTGGATCAGGTGTTATCTGCTGTCGAACTGCGAAATAAACAGTGTACATTTGACTTCCATCAATATTCCATTATCTGCTCAACTAAATGACAGTGAAAACGAGAGAAAAAAGAGAGAAAATCCTCCAGTCAAGAAAATACAGTGCAATCAAATTCATGATCTTTAAGTTCGTAAATAATTATAGTTTCAACCTTCAGTGTGTAAATGGGGAGGTTTTCTTTGCCAATTAGTTTTCTTTGTTCTAATCCATCCTTATTCGCTTATCGCTGTAATGATAAAGCCTTTGTTGCCCTAATAATTAAGTTAAGAGTAGTAATCATAATAACAACAAGAGTAGTTATTATGGTAATGGTGATCATAATATGCAATAAAGTCAGTTCCCCTTTAACCTTATGTTATCGACCAGCAGGTTGATCGTATCATGTTTGTTTCGATTATATTTTGCTTACTGTATTCCTAAGGCTACTTTTCAGCAGTAATACTGATCGACCATATGATATCCGGAGGAAATGAACTTGTGTATTGTATACAGCTGTTTGTTGCAATGAATATAATGGGAAATAGATTTTCATGTTAACAAGATGTTTGTTTAAATAAAAAGAGTTGTACGATATGGAATTCCTAGCTATAAGGAAAGATAAAATAGATTTAGCTTCAAGCTATCGAACTTCACCTCTTCATTTGCAGCAAAGTAGTTACCTACTCTTAATCAGCTGTTTAGTTCCCTATGCCAAAATAATGTATTCATAGTGAGTCTATCTCTGGATATGACCATAGTTGTTTGATTCCTGTCTAGATAAAAGCTATTTTAACTCTCATTTTTATTTTAAGACAGGGTTTCTAGTGATAAAGTTGTTTCAAGGATGCAGGCAAGCAGATGATCATTCATAAGTAAACTGACGGTGTTATGATGGGAAGATGTATGAGGAGTTAGTCGAACACAATGTAGCCATCATGACAATAAACGGCAGTTCTTAGGATGACTACAAGACCTCTTTACTTAGCCCACATCCTCAAAATATGACTGCATTGAATACTGGAAACATCAGTGACGACTAGCAAAATGAAGGTAAAAATCTAAATTCCAGTCATGATTGGACTGTCGTTGGTTATGCAGCATGTTCATAGGATAGGCGTTTGAGTATTCCAAAAAAAACATTAATTAGCCTAAAATTACATACAGATGGATAATTTTTCAATGGAGTTGTGTTCACGAAGCTAGACTGCCTAGTCATATGGCTTTCGCTGACATTCAAGAAAAAACATCAACACAATCTTCAGAAAAAATCGAGCTACAAACGTTTCTGTATAAGTGATGCGTCAAGCTATCTCTGCTCATATCAATGCTTAGACAAAACTGTGGACATGAATTCGACCGGGAAAATGTGGAAATCTTGGATAGAAGAAATACGAAGGACTTTAGAGAAGTTTTTGCAATCATGGCACTAACACTAGTTAAAGATCAGTAGTCCTATTTGCAATTCCCTATCCAATCAAACAACAATAAAGACAAGAAACAACAATAGTTAGAAGGCTAGTCAGTTGACATACTTGTGCAAACGATGACTAAATGATAGCAGAAACAAGCAGTTACACTCAA